AGTCAATAACTGATTTCTGAGTACATGTCAAAGCTAGTGGGAGCATAAGTGTTATGCTAATAATCATCAAGTTAGTGGGATTATGATAATTATGATAAGTATTGCAAGTTGGCAATGTTAATTATAGAAAACAAAAGTTTCAATTCGTGAGGTTGCAGGGGTTGAAAAAGTTTTTTTGCTATAATTAAGGGAGAGGAAATTATACTTCATTTCAATTATGAAAAGCTTAGATTGAGTTTATAATCATTCTAAAGAGCTTATATTAAGATTTTAATCACCTTTAGTCAAGAATATATATATGAATTTCATGTTGGATTGGTTCAACTTAAGAAAATTCTATATATTGCATTCTCAAAATTCGATTATGATTACGAAATCCCTTTTCATAGTAAAATTTTGAGAATATGGCAAACAAAAAGTTATTATGGCAAAAGACTGGTCTAGAACAACGTCTTTATGTGAAACATCATGAATTGTGTCCCATTTACTTTGGGTACAAGATCGATTACTTGTGCTGTAATATTTATTCTTTCTGAATTTTCCAAATGCCTTGGGGCATTAAGGAGGAAAATGTCTAGAATTGGATATGACTAATGTGATTAAGCAATTGTCGAGGACAATCTAAGGTTTACCAAAGATTGGTTGCTCAAGGACAGTTGGAAGTATACTGTTAATATTGGTAGGACCATATTGACATAGTCTGAAAAGAGGCAACGCTTGTTTAGAAGTGGTAGTCAAAATGGGAATATAGAGTTGTCTTTATAGATAGAAGCAATCTGTTTAAGATTAGAAAGAACTTAGTGCAAGAACCATGTTCAAAGCAATGCGTACTTTGAACATAAGGCTTTGTGTCGATGGAGTAGGTCTTCATTGGAATACCCTGTAAAGGTTGTTGACAAGTCTTTGTAACTTTGTACACATTCATTTCAAGAGGGTATGGCATTTGATTTTAAATCCTAACAAGATTTTGATTTGGGAGTGTGAAATTAGAATCATTGAAAGTTTGTTCAATTGGTTTATTTCACAAAGAAAGGATCATAGATAAATATAGAGTGCATACTTGGTGTATAGATAAGCTATTGTTTAGGAAAACATAGTGTACATGCTTGGAGCATGGGATACCTAGTGTTTTAATTCAAGTATAAAGTTGATAAAATCGAAACAATGAATAATGAGAAATCAGTATGGTGATAAATAGAAGTGGTATATTTATATTCATAGGGTTTGATACCATATTTGATTCATTTATTCTTGTGTTTCACTTTGCATGTTTTGACTTCCATAATAACTAGGTTATTCATCTGGAATGACTAAGTTATTTAAACCATCCACAGTCGATCATATGTTGGAAGTAGATACGAATCAAGACTGTCATGGGTTGGCTTGTAGAGGTCCAAGTTGGTGGACAAAGTTGTGCTACAACACTCATGAGTGCTCATAAGTTCTGAGTATTGGATTCAACCGGCGCTCATTTGAGTCACTTCATGGATTTTATCATGAGTGATCATGAGACAATAATATCTTATATTCTTCAAACCTAGTGATATGAGTTGTTACTATGAGTTGGTTATTTATTGATTGCGCGGAACCGCATTGGTAACTCGATGTTATAAAATGTGTCTTTGTGTATGATTCAACAAGTAGCAGAGCAAGCCATATGAGTCGAAGTTTATCCATTTCTTTTACCTTCGGGATAAAAGCGATATCTGTGGGCCACTCGATGATTTAGCGATGACACATGTGAGTGGTTGTCCAAGTCAGGACTGATTTGATTTGTTCAATCAGTCAGTCGTCATAAATCGGAAATCGGGAAACAACAAATGGAAAGAGAGAATGATTTATAATCCATGTCTCAATCTATATGATATCTAGAATGGAGGAATATATGATCCTTTATCTAAAGGAAAAGTCATTGACAAAGGTTAGAGATCATCGGCAAGGTCAGAGTTCGACGGAAGCTTTTGAGAGCTACGATTTCCAGTCGGTTCTTGAAGTCATATGCAATAATAGTTTTAGACTTATCCAAGTGGGAGACTATTGGATTAATGTCTAAGTCCATAACTATAATTGGTAAGACATGACTCGACCCAATATGGTCCATTTGGGTTGCATGGCATTGTGCATTTGGATAGACTATAATGATAGAAATAACACTTAAGGTTTGTTAATATATTATAAGTTATAATATATTAATAAGATTATTTAATTAGTATTGATCAAGAATTAATCTAGAGTTAATTAAGTGATCAAAAGAAGACTAATTAAATATATGGGTTGATTGTGTAAATCATCCATACTTGTATAGTGGGCTAATGCTCCATGGATTATCAAGTTGGGCTAAAACCCATATGATGCTCCATGGATGCTCCATGGTGTATTTTAACCCATGGATCCAAGGAAATGGAAAGCCATGAAAATTAGGGTTTACCCTAATTGTAACAACTATATACGATCATATTCTTTGACAAAATCGGCCACTAAGTTAGGAAGAGAAAGGGCTAGCCGATTTTAGAAGTGTTCAAGTTTCGATCAAGTTATTCCAAGTGTATTTGATATTGTGTGAACCACTTGAGGTGTCACACTTGGGGCACTAGGCACTCAAGCTTCATGAAGACATTCTACATCAAAGAGGTATGTATTCTATCGTGTTATATTCATTGTTTTATATGCTAGATTAGTATAATTCCTAGGATGTTCATATTTGCATGTATAATAGAGAAAACATAGATCCAAGGTATTTAGGGTTGCATGTACACTTAGGAGTGCTAGAATACTCAAAACCCAACACCTATAAAAGGGATGCGAGGGTTCCGGGTAAAATTGCTCAATTCCTCTCTTTCTCTTGCGTTTTTACTCTGTTTTGCGTGCAAGAAATATCCCAAAGCCCCGAAGGAAGATTACGCTCCCGAGATTCCTAAGAATCCCGAGATAATCCGCTTTCTCGAGTCAAAATTTTGCTCGGTTTTCGTCTCACCTTCTTCAATCTATCAGGTGAGTTCATACCCCTATAAACTACACTTTTAACTATTTTATCAATGCTTGTTATACACTTTTAAGGGGGGGGGGGGGGGGAATACAATTAAACACACGGACATTTATCGTGTGTAACATAAAGTTTCACTATATACTCTGTTTATCAAGTAAATCATATGTGATTCATAACTACTACATGGGAACTTTCGTATGCAATTTATATTCTCGATAACATCTTGTCTTTTGGAAATAAAGCATGTTATATATATATATATATATATATATATATATATATATATATATATATATATATATATATATACACACAAATCAAACACTTTATTTATACTTTAAGTATATGTGATCATTTATGTCGCTATAAATATTATACTTCACATAACAAGTGAGCATTACACTAGGGTTTTCTATACGAACGAAACACACATTTTTGAAAAACTATAATATGTATAGTTTACGAGAAAATCATGAACATCTACATACTAGAAACACTATATCAAAGACATATTTTCATACACAAGAACAAATGGACATTGTTGTATGTAAACCTGCTTTATACTAAGTTTTGTGAGACATTTCACGTACTTTTGAGTATGCATTTTAAGTCATGTATTATATACGAAAATACCTTGTAGGGGGAGTGTGATACTTGTGTATAGATCTATACGGGATTGACAATCCCACATCTAAGCTGTTAGCTACAACTAGGTCGGCAAGTCTGGGGTGACAAACGTCATAATCTTCCAACGCTTGAAGAACGTTGTTATAGGCATCCTTGTCAAAACAGCATGGTTATAAGACTCACATGGAGTATTAAAAACACATTGATTTACAGGGTTTTTCAAATGCCTTAGCGATTTATACATAAATCTATTGTTTTAAGCATGAAAAAGCACTATTGCATTACAAGTTTTGGAACAATTAAACTACCATCTACTATAGCAGAAAATATGGGATTTTCTAGGAGCATTCAAACATATACAAACCATTTCATTCGATTTCATACAAACATTGTTACTAAATACTTATGAACTCGCCAGCTTAAATGCTGATCTACTCTTTCAAAACTACTTGTATTTCTCAGGAATTCAGTAAAACAGGAAAACAAACAACTTTTGAAGAAAGGGCGTTGTGGCGTTAGTTTTGTTTCATTTTGACATCATATTGTAATTTGTTTTGAAACAAGTACCTTTCAACAATGTAAACTTTTAAATTATATATATGGTGGTTGTATTACTTTGTTTACTATGTATTCAATTGTTACGATACTACATGAAGTGACCCGCTTTCCAACAATTTGGCCGTTCTAGTTTCGGGGTGTGACAGTGACACACTACAGGCTCCAACTCTTCAATAACAACTTTAGATAGAGACTTGTAATAACTAGCTACCCTTGTTTGACCAGTTTCTATATACACCCTAATAAGTCTGTGTTTAGGGACATATGATACCATTTTAAGTACATCTTGGTCATTACGTAAAGGCATTAAGCCATAGTCCAAAGGGTATTTAGGGATATAGAAATAGTAGTAAAGGGTTTTCTTAGTTTTGTACCCTAGTTCTCGGACCAAGTCCTCAAGCTCATGAACTGAAAATAAATCAGTGTCAACATTATCAACATATGCTACAACACCATCAATCTATATCATTCCAGGTGCTTTGGTGAAGACACCACTATAGTGTATCTTCAACATGAAATAGTTGTTATATCCTTCTGCAAACACAAAAAAAAAAAGTAAAATCAATGATTTCTCTACGTGAACACAATCGACCAAGAAAAAACAAGTTTTTTTTGTAGTTTTGTACCGTATCTTTTTCCTAAGTCCTCCACGGTTACATCCTTGCATTAAGTTGCTTGACTTCTCAACCCGATTCCATTATTACGTCAAGCTCTTCCTGTAAGGTCCAACACCTTTGCCTTGAGTCGCTTGGCTTCTCAGCCCGACACTATTATTACGGCA